GAAGTAAAACAAATTATAAACTGGGATAATGTAATATTTTTGGACGAAACATGGCTAAATTCCAACCACTCTGTGCCGAAAACATGGACAGATGATTCTGAAGCTTCGTGCTCGAAAGTGCCGATAGGGAAAGGTCATTATATGCCATGCTGGATCAGCGTCTGCAGGTTTCGTGGAAAATTCATTATTAGCTTTCCAATCTAAAAGCACAAAAGAGTATCATGAAGAAATGGACGCGGAAAGGTTCCAAGAGTGGTTCTTAAATTTACTAACGAATATCCCTCCTAACAGCACAATTATAATGGATAATGCCCCATACCACTCTGTGCAAATTGATAAAGCACCAACATCAGCCAATAAGAAAGCAGATTTGGTGGCGTGGCTGCAAAGAAAAGGAGTGGAAGCCGACATGTCACTATTAAAAGTTGAATTGTTACATTTAGTGAAATTGGATAAACCACCAAGACCGACTTATGCTATTGACCAATTAGCCGAAGAACACGGGCACAAAGTCATACGACTTCCTCTGTACCATTGCCAATATAATGCCATTGAACTGATTTGGGCCCAAGTTAAAGGTAATACTTTATAATATAATAATATTTTTTAGTAGTTGATTATATTAATAACAAGAACTTGTTCTTAATAAGCTGAAATATATTGTGAATTGAGATTTTCCGTTAAGTACAGTAATACTATAAAACATTACCCTTCTTCTTCGCAGTTGTGTTAAATTGTACATAACCTAACAAAATATAGCAAGATTAGCTTAACACATTTTGTAGCCACATAACACGAGTGCCTCTAGCTTTTATAATTTAAAAAATAGTCTAAGTCTCCCACCTTATAATTATATAATTGTTTTACAGGTTATGCAGCAAGACACAACACAAAACCACCCTTCAGTGTCAAGAAAATGGAAGGCTTATTAAAGGAAGCATGTGCGCAAGTTACACAAGAAGATTGGTCAAAAGTAGTAGAAAAAAGAAAGAAAATAATAATGGACGACTTCAACAGAGACGTAAAATTCGATGGTTTCATGGATAATCAACTAGTCATTAATTTAAATGACGATGATGACGAGGACGACAATGATTCCAGTACTTGTAGTGAATAAAAAATATCCTAAACATTACTTTTATTTAAATGCTTCGACTTCGACCTTTAGAACCTTAAGATTTTTTCGGTATTCTATCCTCAGATTACTAGTAAAACCTAAATTTACCAATAAACAACCTTTTAAAATAACATATTAAAAAAATGTAGGAAAAGAGTACAGGGAAATAATATCTTAAATTTCGGATATTATGGTCATTGATCTCTTAAAATTCGGATATTATAGTAATCGATCTCTTAAAATTCAGATATCATAGTAATCGATTTTTTAAAACCCATCCCTATTATTCAATTTGTCAGAACTGTCAAACGGTACTTCTTAGATTTGATGGACTGTAGTGTGGAGGATTAATAAGCATTTACAAAAAAAGCAAAACATAAAGGCATAGAGTATAACTATAAATAGTTAAATAATATTTTACCCATATAATTTACCCATATAATATTTTAATAATATTAAAATATTATATGGGTATTTTTTTACATATTATATCTTATTTTCAAGGAGGAAATCGTCGTGAGCCAAACCTCGAATTTTGCATTTTTATACGCAATTTTCAGTGTTAAGTACTGTTGTCCCTATCGCACGGTATTTGCCAATGTGCGATAGCAATAGTTTATTGAAATACCTATTTCTCAAATGTCTCTTCAGCTTGCGTCCGCTCTTAAGCTCTGATTTTCAAGGGTCGAATTTGCAGTCGAATTTACATGGCTAATTCGCATTTGCTATTTGAGAATACTTTCCTGCTGGTAGTGTGTGTACTAACTATATAGACACACACATACACACACACACACACATATATATACTCACACACACGCATCTCTAGTATATCTATATATATATAAAACTCAAAGACATAGTGATCTATCAATGCACAGCCCAAACCACTGGACGGATCAGACTGAAATTTGACATGCAGGTAGATGTTATGACGTAGGCATCCGCTAAGAAAGGATGTCAATCAATTCTACCCCCAAGGGGATAAAATAGGGAATGAAAGTTTGTATGAAACTTTGTCAATTTTAAACCGATCGGGCTGAGACTTTGCATGCAGGTATAAGAAGAATCATAGATGAATGTCATTGAGTAGAATACAAGCTTGAGAACAAAAACTGTACTCAGCTCTACACCGAAGCGAAGCGAGAGAGGGCCGCTAGTAATATATAAAAGTGTGCATGACAAATAAATGCTTTCTCTTTTTAATCGCAGTCAGTTGTTATTCATTTAACGCCCTGAACAGCCAACAATGCACTTTTCATACCCTATAGAGTAGGATAAGAACAAACTGCTGTCAAATAACAAATAGCAAATACGAATAGCCTTGTGTATTGCCGGCATAAAAGACTTTGGTATTATCACAATGTATGTATGTAGGAGTTGAGGAGCTTGATAGTCCGGGACCAACGGCTTAACGTGCTCGAAGGCACGATAAGCCGTTGGTCCCGGCTGCAATTGCAGTCGTTAGCACCCGCCAATCCGTATTGGACCCGCGTGGGGGGTCATGGCCCAATCTCCCTATTCTATCCATAGGGAAGGCCTGTACCCCAGCAGTGGGAACATTAATAGGCCGATGATGATGATGAAAAAGTTGAGCTGCAATTGGAATAGGGTATTTGACAAGTTTTAGAAAACGATCTCACGTTATTGACTAAATGTATATGGAGTCCGTAAAAAGTGGATATTCATCATTCTGTTGTGTATTTCAGTAAAAAATACTAATCAAAAAATCCATATTCAAGTTGCTGCGAAAACGTTTCTCTGGACAATATGGCGTCTCACTGGTGTGTGACGTCACACGATTGTTATTTAAACGTCAAACGATACAATGTAATGTCACTTTAACCGGAAGTTTACTAGCGTGTGACGTCATTTTAGGCTCCGCCAATCCCAAGCGTTTTGGGTCACTTGACAATAGATAAGAAAACTATTATCTTTTTCGTGGGTCTTTAGTAAAAATATGAATATTTTTTCTGAAAAAATTGTGAAAATCCCTGCGAATATTCATTCTAAACACAGCTAACAATTGGCACTTTATTTTTAATACTGTCAAATACTCTATTGGTATAAGGTTAAACCATAAATTAGTATAAATTATTAAGTCCATTTGACGACCTCCGTGGCCAAGTGGTTTGTACGCCGGGTTTAATGGTGTCGCCAACTCGAGAGGTCCCGGTTCGAATCCCGGTGGGGGTAGATGTTTGTGTGATGAATACAAGCATTTGTACTCCAGTCATGGATGTTTGATATGTTTATCTATATAAATATACTTATATATGTACAATATATGTATTCTATCCGTTACCCTAGCAACCCATAACACAAGCCCTACAGTGCTTACTTTGGGGCTAGGCTAATTGGTGTGAGTGATGGAAATATTTATTATTTATTTATTTTATTATAAATGAAGTATCAAAAAATTAAATAGCGCGATTGGTGTGACCTGCGGGTGCGCGTGTCGCTCCAGATAGTGCAGGATCTGGTCGGCGGTGATGCCGCCCCTCAGCGCCTGGCGGACTGACTCCCGCGTCACTATACATACCCACTATATATACCAGGTTACCTGCGGGTGCGCGTGTCGCTCCAGATAGTGCAGGATCTGGTCGGCGGTGATGCCGCCCCTCAGCGCCTGGCGGACTGACTCCCGCGTCACTATACATACCCACTATATATACCAGGTTACCTGCGGGTGCGCGTGTCGCTCCAGATAGTGCAGGATCTGGTCGGCGGTGATGCCGCCCCTCAGCGCCTGGCGGACTGACTCCCGCGTCACTATACATACCCACTATATATACCAGGTTACCTGCGGGTGCGCGTGTTGCTCCAGATAGTGCAGGATCTGGTCGGCGGTGATGCCGCCCCGCAGCGCCTGGCGGACTGACTCCCGCGTCACTATACATACCCACTATATATACCAGGTTACCTGCGGGTGCGCGTGTTGCTCCAGATAGTGCAGGATCTGGTCGGCGGTGATGCCGCCCCGCAGCGCCTGGCGGACTGACTCCCGCGTCACTATACATACCCACTATATATACCAGGTTACCTGCGGGTGCGCGTGTCGCTCCAGATAGTGCAGGATCTGGTCGGCGGTGATGCCGCCCCTCAGCGCCTGGCGGACTGACTCCCGCGTCACTATACATACCCACTATATATACCAGGTTACCTGCGGGTGCGCGTGTCGCTCCAGATAGTGCAGGATCTGGTCGGCGGTGATGCCGCCCCTCAGCGCCTGGCGGACTGACTCCCGCGTCACTATACATACCCACTATATATACCAGGTTACCTGCGGGTGCGCGTGTCGCTCCAGATAGTGCAGGATCTGGTCGGCGGTGATGCCGCCCCTCAGCGCCTGGCGGACTGACTCCCGCGTCACTATACATACCCACTATATATACCAGGTTACCTGCGGGTGCGCGTGTCGCTCCAGATAGTGCAGGATCTGGTCGGCGGTGATGCCGCCCCGCAGCGCCTGGCGGACTGACTCCCGCGTCACTATACATACCCACTATATATACCAGGTTACCTGCGGGTGCGCGTGTTGCTCCAGATAGTGCAGGATCTGGTCGGCGGTGATGCCGCCCCTCAGCGCCTGGCGGACTGACTCCCGCGTCACTATACATACCCACTATATATACCAGGTTACCTGCGGGTGCGCGTGTTGCTCCAGATAGTGCAGGATCTGGTCGGCGGTGATGCCGCCCCGCAGCGCCTGGCGGACTGACTCCCGCGTCACTATACATACCCACTATATATACCAGGTTACCTGCGGGTGCGCGTGTTGCTCCAGATAGTGCAGGATCTGGTCGGCGGTGATGCCGCCCCGCAGCGCCTGGCGGCCTGACTCCCGCGTCACTATACATACCCACTATATATACCAGGTTACCTGCGGGTGCGCGTGTTGCTCCAGATAGTGCAGGATCTGGTCGGCGGTGATGCCGCCCCGCAGCGCCTGGCGGACTGACTCCCGCGTCACCACGCCTACCACCAGGTTAGGAAACCTGCGTGCGACACATCAATATATTGACAAAACGAAAAAAAAACCGAGTGTGCTTATGACCACATGACTGAAGTGAAACTTCTGTAGCACCATCTGTATATACAGGGTGGTCAAAAAGTCGTGGATCAAACGAAACAGGGAGATAAAGAAGGTTATTTCCAACAAAAAATCTTTCTACAGCATGGCCATAACTTCATTGCACGAAAAGTTATGAATATTTTTGTTTTTTTTTCAATTTATCTACCGAGTTTTTTTACAATTCAATCAATAAAAAAATTAATTGATTAAACACAATAAAACAAAAGGTGTTGTATTATGACCGGATTATGTATCAATACTACAAAAATTGTATTGGAGCTCTCGGTACCAAATTTAACAAGCAATAATTTTTTTTTTCGTAAATTTTGAAGCATTACAAAGAATTACTTCTCACTTTAGGAGCACCATGTGAAAAAAAAATGTATTATAGAAAAGTGACCCTGTATTGAAAAAACTTGCTGATTTAATGCTGATTCAAATGAGGTACAACACTTTACTGTGTGACCTTTAGTTTTGGTTTTATGGTCGTTTTTTCATGTCAAGGTGCAAATTTATAGAATGGTAAATTGAAAGGAAAATTTAGATTCTTGCTCATACATACTATGTAGTAATTTCAGAAGCCATCATGAAATAAAAAGAACAATTATGACTTAGTAATTTTATTACAATTAAAATGTTTACATTAAATGTTCAAAGTTCCTACCTCTGATCATAATGCACCAATATGCACCGCCTAATAAAATTCGCACGTAATCGGCGGAATGCACCTCTGTTATAACAATTTGTAACCTAGCGAACTCAAGCTTTTGTCGTAGTTCTTGTTCGGTGTTATTCTCTCCTTGATACACTATTTCTTTGAAATAGCCCCAAAAAAAAGTCTATTGAGTTAAGGTCGGGCGACCAGGGTGGTCATGCAATAGGTCCGCCTCGACCAATCCACCGGTTAGGGAAGCGCTCGTTCAAATGTCCTCGAACTGCTCGAGCATAATGAGGCGGGGCGCCATCTTGTTGCAGCCACATTTCCGCCACTCTATCTTCAGGAATCTCAGCTTCGTTCAGTATTTGGTTCAAATTATTCTGTAAAAAATTCAAATACAGAGCACCATTCAGCCTTGGTGGCACTTCATGTAGCACAGGCTTCTGGTCAATTATTCCAGCCCACATGTTTATACCAAACAAATGCTTGAATCGATCATTTCTGATGATATGTGGGTCACTCTTGAGTAAAAGTGTAAATTGCGGATGTTAAAAATTCCCATTCTTCTAAAATTTGACTCATCAGTCCATAATTTTTTTTAAGAAAGTTGTAGAACTGCGGATCCTCTCTGTGTCGTCTAAGCATCTCTCTGCAAAATACCATTCTAGGTCCATAGTCAGAGGGCTGTAAAGCTTATACCCTTTGCACGTGGTAACCGTGGTATTTTTTTCTTTTAATAATAAGCTGCACCGTCGATCATGGGATCCCGAGATTTCGTTGACGTTGGCTAATACCAGGGTTCATTCTTAACTGTCTCAGTATTTGCTCTTCATTGTCAAATCGTACCACTGGTCTACCTGTTCTCAATTTTTGACAAAGGATTAAATGGTTAGAGTGAAAGCGTATCTGTCCATTTCATAAATCCTAAGTGTGACAAGAACAGAACATTTCTAGCGTTCCAACGTACAAAAAACTAGCCGTTTATGATCAACTAGTAAATTATTTGAATAAGGTTAATTTAATGAAATTTGCACCTTGATATGAAAAAACGACCATAAAACCAAAACTAAAGGTCACACAGTAAATTGTTGTACCTCATTTGAATCAGCATTAAATCAGCAAGTTTTTTTTAATACAGGGTCACTTTTCTGTAATACATTTTTTTTTCACATGGTGCTCCTAAAGTGAGAAGTAATTCTTTGTAATGCTTCAAAATTTACGAAAAAAAATTATTGCTCGTTAAATTTGGTACCGAGAGCTCCAATACAATTTTTGTAGTATTGATACATAATCCGGTCATAATACAACACCTTTTGTTTTATTGTGTTTAATCAATTTATTTTTTTATTGATTAAATTGTAAAAAAACTCGGTAGATTCATTGAAAAAAACAAAAATATTCCTAACTTTTCGTGCAATGAAGTTATGGCCATTCTGTAGAAAGATTTTTTGTTGGAAATAACCTTCTTTATCCCCCTGTTTCGTTTGATCCACGACTTTTTGACCACCCTGTATATATATGTCTACAGATGGTGCTACAGAAGTTTCACTATATTTATAATTAGTCGATGCTTACCATACAAACCCTTAGATTATCATTGTCTAGGTGTAATGTTTTCTGTAAACAATGGGGGCCTGATGACCTGTAACACGGGTCTATGAACCTAAACGGGCACCAGTCTCCCACGAATGACGACATGATTATATTTATTTGTTGTTTTCATTGATAAAAAAAAATGACAAAGGACATGGCTAAGAAACTGGCCATAACGTGTATAAATATTTCGCACTAGCCCGTAACTTTACAATATTTTTTTTAATAATTATTACGTGTTTATTATTCTCATACAACTTTGTCTGTTTCAAAAGCAAAATGTTCCGTTTTACAAAATAAATGTACAATAAATGTACACAAAAAATATTTGTGTAAGTATATCGAAATAAACAAAAATATAAATATTTATTTCTAAACTCCTTCAAACTATGAAATATTTGGCCCAAATTTTTATTATAACAAATCACTGTAGACCTAAAATAAAAGATTTTATTATTCTGATCAGGATTGAGACAAGGCTGTATGATAATTTATCCTTTAATTTTTGCAAATGGACAAAATAAAGCTTCACAGATTTCTTGTCAGGCCGACGATAACAAATTATCTGTATTTATTTTTGCTTTAAAAATCTTTTTGTGAAGAGTTAATCAGAGTAATGGGAAGAAAGATTCTAAGAAAATGCGAAATAGATGACTCTGTAAATAATTGGCAACATCTTTTATCAACTGTAGTAAAGCAATGACATAGTCGGACTTCTAATAATTTTTAAGATTGTGACTTTATTAAAAGTTCCTGAGCCTTTTTTCATAGAAACTGTTATATATTCAGCCATTTACCATTAAATATTACTAAGTACAGTATTTATATATTGCCAGGGCAGTCGCTCATACAAAACTTTACCATATCCTTTCCCAAACTTAACCTGAAGATTTGTTAATAAAAAAAAACACACACGCGGCGGATTTCACTGGCGTAGAATTAATAGTAAAACATTAAATTGTTATTGATTATTGATAAATTACGTCGTGTTATCAATTAAAAACCTATTTCAATAGTTAACATCAAGTAAACATATAAGTTAGAACTAAATTCATGTATTTTGTGACGAGTATTGTTCATTGTTTACCCATGAGTCACCGGTGACACTAATCGTAACGCGTAACTCGTAACGCATCCGCCAGTCCCCCCCCCCCCCCCCCCAAGTCAAGTGTGCCTAAAGAAGTTTCACGTCAAAAAGAGGGAATAGAATAACATAAATGGGACCATACTTGAGGTTTTAATGAAGGATCAAATGTCTAATGCTAGCTCTTCACTCTCGTCTAAGTTAGGCGAGGCGATGTTGCGCGAATTTCCGCGAGGCGAGTCAACACGAGGTGACACAAGAATGTATCCATTTTCACTCTCACCTCTGTTCAATTCTCTCTATGTCTCCAGCATAATGAACGTGCTCGAAGTGGCAAGTGCCGCGACTTTATGCGTCTTTGCGTATATGAATTTTGATAACATATACAGTACACTTATAAAATTAAAAAGCCTTGGCGAAGAAGGCGATGGTGCATAACATCTTTACACCGTAACAGAACAAGATATGAGTTGCAATTTTATTTTTCTGGTGAAAATATGATTACTATGTGAGTTTTTTATTCGTTTTTTCTAAAAAAAATGTGTGTGTCAGCTCCGATGCACAACCGGAGTTTACACTTTAAAAACGATTGTCTTTGAACAGACACAAAACAAAATCAAGTCCGAAGAAGTCGGTTACAATATCATAGGTTCCATGTCACACATTTTAATCATCTGACATCAGCGATATTCATCATATATTTTATTATGTATTTCTGGAAACACAATTTCAAAAATATCACACACTAGTCATCATTTTGTAAATATGTATTATAATTCCATCTGTACTGAAAATCACTATTCCAGAGTGCTGGACACTTACCGGCATTTCTCTTTATTCTGTTATTTATTTGTTTTCATTAATTTTGCTCCGATTTTATCTATTTTTAGTTTATTTATTTTATTGACATTTGTGACAATTAATGTTTTTTATCCGTTGCCATGGCTAAAAGTGAAAGGTGCGCAGATGAGGTTGCGCACAAAAACGTAACGAGGTCATTAATGTCATTCATCGATAGATTTTACTCCTCACATTTTTCTCATACCGGGCCCCTTATATATGCAAATCGATTCTTAAGGAGTAAACTCCAAAAAACTGCCAAAAAATGTTACTTCATCTCACTAAAAATTCTGGTGTCATACCGATTGAATAAACGCGAGAATGTGGACGCCGCGCCTCGCCTCGCCTCGTCTCTCCTCGTACCTCGCGCCCTTTGACTCGCGCCCAAATACCGACTCCAATCGGAGGACAGACGAGACGAGCCGTGGCGCGACGATTTGCTAGCATAAGACATCAGTAAAAAGGGCTTATGCGTCTCGGGACGCGTGTCGTGTGAGGCGGGTCGTTACGTTCCCTAAAATATGGTTGAGCGAAGCGATGGCTGGTTCATGCGTCATGCTCGTGAACGGGTGCTGCCAGCGGAGATGAGTCTGCCCTAACTACTTCGATATTTAAGATGTAAATGTTTAATTATAAATAACTCTGTTTGTATTTATACTGTGTGACACAGCAATCAAAATGCAGGTGAACAATTAATGTATAATTTTACATTATGTAATGAAAGGTGACTTCGTGAATCATCTCTGAA